CAACATTGTGCTCGTCAGGCAGTGAACAAAGTTAAAATCATAAAATTAATATATTCAGCAATTGTGTTTCTTTTTTTAATGCATTTCTACATATTTTCCACTTATACTAATTTATTTCCCAGTGGTGAATCTTCAGTAACATTGTATATTCATTATGCCGTTTAAGTTTTAAAGATATTGACAGCTAGATTTTCATAGATGTCTGTTTTTTTTTTGTTTGTTTTTTTGTTAAACGCTTTTTAGCCAATCGTTACACTTTAACTTTTCCTTTAATGTTATCACTTACCCCATCTTGCTGTATTCCTGTATGCCTTCCAGTTCTTCAACCTCTAATTTTTTTTTTCGGAGCGATAAAATTACACATGTCTTTCACTGATGTGCGTTTTAAAACCTACCTTGTGATTTTCCCCTTTTAATGTAATTCCTCCAATGATTTTGATATTAGAAAATTTGTGTTTGTATACCGTAGTTGGTTCTATAACTTTTTTAATAATAACTTGGTAACAAGAATGATTATTAATAATAATATTTCGCCTAATAAATATTAGGCGAAATATTATTATTAATAATCATTCTTGTTACCAAGTTATTATTAATTACTAATACTACTAGTTTAAACATACCAAAAATATTAAAGTCATTTCAAATAAATTATTTTCAATATATTTGTACCATTATTATTATTGTACTTTGTTTTTACAGAAATATTTTTTCATCTCAAGCTTCGTAATCATTTTCGAATTGTTCATCAATGTCAAAATAAAACAATGACACCTTTTGTTATCTCTGAAAGGGAGACAACTTAAAAAGTAAACAATTGCAGAAATTGCATATATACACCGATTAGCGTAGATTAAGATTTATATTAGTAGTATCATTATTATTATTATTATTATTATTATTATTATTATTATTTGTAATCATCTTAATGACAACTGACGGTTATCGCAAATGCAAATGTTAGTGTTTCTTCTCAAAATGTCCTAACTCAGTGCAGTCTGAATTATCCAACTATTTTTACAATCTCTCAATAGTATTATTACAGTCTGTATTTATGGCAGTTCACAAAAGAGTTAATAAATGAACATCCCTGAAGATTAAATAACACTAAATCTCCACAGTTGTTCAGCATTCATACCAGGATTACAATGGACTAATATTGTTTCAATGATTACTTGAATTTTTCCTTGCCTACTCTTATGTCCTTATCGCAACCATGTCCCTATCATTACAACTGCATTTACCGCTTGTCACATTTTGAAATTTCCGTGAATTTGTGTATCTGCGTTTGATACCTGTTCTTATTTTAAAGTTTTCTAATGTCCTTTCGTCAGTAGTTACATAACCGGAAATAACGCCCTGTCTCCCATAATAATATGGCTACCATGTTTTTTCTGTTTTTCTCTTAATCAACCTTATCAATTAACTATTTTTTAGTTTTCATTTTTCCGTTGAATAAAAAGTAAAAAACCAGAATATATATATATATATATATATATATATATATATATATATATATATATATATATATATATATATATAAGAATATATATATATATATATATAAAACAAGAATATATATATATATATATATATATATATATAAACAAACAAGAATATATATATATATATATATAAACAAAATATATATATATATATATATATATATATATATATATATATATATATATATATATATATATATGTATGTGTGTGTGTGTGTGTCTTTAAAATGCTGAGGAAAATAAAAATTTGAATTATTTTCGCACCCATCGAAATGTTTTTACCAGTAGCAGCTGATGGTTTTAAATGGTAATCAGACGACAGCAAATCTCAATATTTCAGCACTCTCTTTATTATTCTTGTAGTTGTCAAGATGATATCGATCCTTCTTCGGATTTCCTTTCTTTCCAGTCTTATTCGCTAGGCTTTCCGCAATGTTATTCCTCCTCGTTGTTTATTAATAGTTATTCACACCTGAGAAACGGTCATCCCCAGGGAGCAAATGTATCCAACTGCTGCTTTCTTGTCGTGTCGAGTTTCCTTCATCTGAATTTTTTTACCGGGCGTTTTCTACTTTTTATCTCTTCGCGATGATTTTTGAAACGCTGATCGAGTTGCCCATGGGATTATGTTCTTTAGATTTCACAATTGCATAAATGTAGTTTCAGAAATAAATGATAAAGAAAATATTTTCTTTCGACTGGAGAATCGTTTGTATAATTCAGCGAACGAAATGAACATGCATTCTGTAAATTCTATTCAAATAAAGAAAATAAATGAAAAGTGTTATGATACTGTAAGGATAGTGATATCTTGTGAACTGTAGAAGTGACTCGGATCTGAATCCTGTTTATGCACAAACCATGAATTTTATTAAAATTTAAATAAATAAAATTGAGAACATATGTTATGTAGTGAATATCATTCTTGCTGCAATTTCAAGAGTAAGAAGTAATGGTTATGGTGCTATTAACCGTTTCCTTATAAGGAAATATTCGGCATTTATTGACCGAGCAGCCAGTGCTGCCGTCTGTTGGCATTTATAAAATCTTCTTCTTAAAATGATTTTTCAGAAAAATATGTTTCTTACCTTAAGTATCTGTTATCACTTTTCCCATATTGAAGGGAATTTCCTTCCTAACCTTTTGTTTGAAATTGTGTGAAATGTCATCATCTTAATTATGTCATTATTGTTTCTTCGAGTTACACGTGTTATCCATTTCCGTTGTTGCCGCTTGTGGAATTCTTCAACAGATGTGATTCATTATTTGGTAGTTCTTTCTATCTGATTCTCTATTGCCATTCCACAATGTTCTAAGAAGGATGATCTTGGCCAATGTCCACATGCATCACACGCTCAAAATCCTTTTTAGCAACTAATATTAGGAAGCGGTTAAAAACACTTGAGAGTTTACATATTTATGGACGAGTTTGAAAATCTCTATCTATTGAGGTTATTTTATTATATAATTCGATTTTCAGATTAATGTTTTCGTTTTGCAGCAGTTGGCGGTGTTGGGCGAAACTATCTCTAGATCAGCTTATTCTATATTCAATTTCGTTGCTTCCTATACTAAATTCGTTATAACTGGTCTCTCTCTATATATATATATATATACATACATACATACATTGTTTCTGTTTTGGAAAAATTCATCTCGAGTCCTATTTCTTGTAATAATTGGTAAAAACTGCTAATGTTAAGTTCAAGGAGATTCTTTTTTTAATTATGAGTACACATGTTGTTGGAATAGCACACCTCATCAAAATACATTTTTTAATTTTTTACAATACTCTTCAACCTGTGCAAAGCCCAAGAGCCACTCTTGAGGTAGAGTGTTACAGAGTGATAAGTAAGGGGACAGTTTATGACAATATTTGGGTAATATAATGATTAACTCGAGATTTAAGATTATAGTGTTCGTGGAAGTGTCATCTTGGGATTCGGTTCGTCAATGTAGCCTTTTGTGGCAAAAAGATGTTAGAATGGAACTTACATCTCCTCAATAGAATACAAAAGGAATGAGTGTCATTTGCTACAATGGGCGTGGCATGACGGGTCTTAAGCATGAAGATTAGGACTAGTGGAATTAAGGTATATAGTTCGCCTGAACATTTTCCATGGGAATAGCAGTCGTCAATAACTGACTAATGTACTAGAAAAACTTGGCGAATATATAGATGACAATTGTACTTCAGGTTGCTGAAGATCTTGAATCAGTCTTCAATTGTTTTTCAAAATGGCTAGAAGAAAATGGGAAGCAGACAGAGAATTGAAGCATTACCAAAACCAGTTGCAATATGGCCGAAGTTAGAGGATTATTACTGACAATTGATCTTCAATGAATTGCAACGTGTATAACAAAATATAGTAATAATGACAACATTATTCATGGTGGGAAAAATAAAAACAAGATAATATGGCGTTCAAAATTACAACATAATTTGTTAAGTCCATTCTATTTTTAGAAAGTATTCAAACGTTCCCAGGTAGTGTTGTAATACAGTGCTCTTTCAGGCAATCGGTCATATCACCTCTCGGATTTGTCAGCTTCGAAATATTCCTGATATCTGTAACATCGAATGTTACAGATGTTAGAAATAAAATATATTCTACTTCAATTCAATCTATACATATACTGATTATAATATAAACAGCAATAATGATAAGAGGGGAATTAAAATTTATGATAATAGAAATATGTTTACTTGTGACCTTTAAAGGAAGGAGTTTTTCATATATGGGAGATGAAATTAATTCCAGAGGTAAATTTACAAATTGTAATATTTTACTCATAGATTTCAAATGAGAGAAATTTTAGTTGGACATCAGCAGAATTGTCCACTATGTAGTAGATTTTCTAGACAGTAACACACGAAACCTACTTATATCAAACTATGTAATACATACATACCTACATACATATATATTTGGCCACAGAGGAGCTGTCGGTTAGCAAGGTCGAATTTACTGTATTTGAACGTCAATCTTCTATGAATACAGTAAATATATATATATGAAGAAATATAGTCTTCAGGTGTGCTATGTTTATGGGATAAAGGGCTCAATATCAGAGATAGAGCGTGTGTAAAAGTGTACATTGAAGTCAGCACTTAGAGGCGACTGTCTGTTTCATTCTAGACGCAATCGTCTGGCCTGACGATTGCTTCAAACATGAAACAGACTGTCGCCTAAGTGTTGATTTCATTGTTCAATTATATATATATATATATATATATATATATATATATATATATATATATATATATATACATGAATAGTGGTACTCGCGTGGTAAAACCTTGGGTATTTCGGCTTGTAGTAGAACAAAACAGTATCCGAGGAAAAATGAGGAATAAAAAAAGAAAGAAATAAGAACGTGAACTAAGGCGAAAACAATCGTCCAGAGTTCAAGCTCAATACACGAAGTAGAGCAAACCTAATATATATATATATATATATATATATATATATATATATATAAAGAGTGAGAGACTGGCGGGTGGGGGAGCGAGAGCGAGGGAGAAATATAGTTAAAGAAGAAATCTGTAAGAAAATCTTTATAAAATTGAGATTTCTCTATTGTATTCGCTATACAGAAATGTGTGTGTGCGCCCGTAGAGAGAGAAACTGACAGACTGATAGATAGATAGATAGATAGATAGATAGATAGATAGATAGATAGATAGATAGATTGGGACGGACCCAGAACCCACTGCATTAAGAAACAAATATACTATAAAATTGAAGAACTGAATTTATTCACACTGAAATCTGCAACACTCATCAAAGATTTACCCTCAGTTTTTATCACGAGTGAAAACGACACTGACGTGAATATTTATCCAGTATAAAGAAAATAATTTCTTTATCGGAGGAAACAATAATAATTTTAATTATAAAACAGATAATAATTAAAACTATTTTTGCATCCCCTTTTACAAAATTATTTTCTTTGATCGTAATATGAGCAATTATTTCTGGAATTTATTCAACAATTTTTTTTTGTAATTCGGTATTTACATTAAGTTATCTCTGAAATAAATGTTCTTATATTAAACACATATACATGCATTCATATCTATCTATCTGTTCATAGCTATCTCTCTTTCTCTCACTTTCGCTCTCTCTCTCTCTAGGAATATATATATATATATATATATATATATATATATATATATATATATATATATATATATATATATACATACACACACACATATATATTATCTGTCTAACTTATCTGTCTTATATATTTATCTAATCTTTTTATCTCACTCTGTCCGTTTTTATCTCACTCTATCTATATTTCTATCTGTCTATCTATATATCTCGTTCATTTTTTCTTTTCTCTATCTCTCTCTCTCTCTCTCTATATATATATATATATATATATATATATATATATAATATTAGTGGAAAATATACATACATATGCAAAATATATAAATACCCATACATGTATATTTTCAGAAAAAAATTTCCAAGAGGAAGAATCCAGGTAGATCTCATTGTCTATGACAGAGTAAGGATATAATAAAAAGGCTTAAACACTAATATTCCATGGTCATAATTTATTCCATTGAAATCTTAAATACGATCCAATTCATCAGACCTACAAATTCAAAATTCATTTTGAATTACGATTCCAATGGAATAAATTATGACCATGGAATATTAGTGTTTAAACTTCTTTTTATTATATATATATATATATATATATATATATATATATATATATATATATATATATATATATGTGTGTGTGTGTGTGTGTGTGTGTGTGTGTGTTTGTGTGTGTGTGTGTGTGCGTGTGTGTGTATCTATCTATCTATCTATCTATCTATCTATCTATATATATATATATATCACCAATGTTTTTTTTCCCGCGGTTGATCAGATCATCAGATCATAATTACAGAAAATTTCTGCCTAGCCTTAAATAAATCAAACATTCCCTTGTCCGTCGTAAGCACCCCCCCACCCACAGGCGCGGTCAGTGAAAAATATATACATCTCTAGAATGTAAGGCATTAATATTAAAAACAAACAGGAAACGTTTATTCTTATTTTACAACTCTGCTCTTGTCCTCATCTTATTACGATCGTTATATACATTATTCTATGTCATTCGCATTCGAACAACATCTGTCGTATCCAACAGAATACGCCGTGTTTTAAATATTAAAGAAAACACATGATAGATAGATAGATAGATAGATAGATAGATAGATAGATAGATAGATAGATAGATAGATATGCATAATAAAAGTTATATATTCACGTCTGAGTATATTTGAAACTACTGATTTACGTTGTTTTCTTAAAATGTTCCAAGGAAAATGAAGCACTTCAATGAGGAAAACCAAACGAACGTCCATTCATTATAGATAATAATAACTTAAGTAAATCCTTCGCAATAAGATGGCAAAAACAGACGCCGGAAATTATTATCTTCTTCCCATGCGATATTTCATAAAAATATTTTAAATAAAATATCTGCCGTATTTAATTTACAATTTTATTATCTAACATCTTTCCAAAGTTTATAGTCTTATTTAAATAGATATAACTTGCACGATTTGTATATTCTTAGGATAGTGGCAGATGAAAATAATAATAATAATAATAATAATAATAATAATAATAATAATAATAATAATAATAATAATAATTCCACAGTTGATGAATAATTGTAGCAATGCAAACTACATTATAAGAAATCTCTGCTAGAAACGACAACTCGTATCAAAACACAGCTCATAATTAATGACAAAAGAAATGCGTATTTTTCTTAATTTTTCCTTACAAACACAATTTCCAATTTTTGATAATATTTTGGTAATATTGGTGATCATTTTAGCAGCAGATTATCTTCTTGTATGATATAAAACAAACCACAAGTGACCATCACTTATCTGTGATCAGTGTCCGCTGTTTCTCATTCGAAAGGATGGGATTAGGAAAGAAAGCCTTATCTCCTCCATCATAATTTCCTATCTTCAAAGTCAAAACCAAGTGAGGCTTTTCAGAAATTCGCAAGGTAATCGTGGTATATTTTCTTTACTCTACCAGACTGCGAGAATAATTTTTTTTAATTTTCTTTTTTACCATAATGAGGAGAGTTTAATATCATGATAATTTTGAAGCAAATTTTCTACATGTCAGTATAGTAAAAAAGAATAGATAGATAGATAGATAGATAGATAGATAGATAGATAGATAGATAGATAGGTAGGTAGGTAGGTAGGTAGGTAGGTAGGAGGGAGAAAAATGTGATGATTATGGAAAATAACATCAGGGAATAGGATATTTCTTTCGATATACAGAGATATTCAGAAAGCATATATAAGTCAGCTAAAACGTTAGATTTCTGATTTACAGAGTGTACACATCGAAAATATACACACGCCCACGTGACATGACATTGTTAATAAAAATATAAACGAATTTACATTATTCTAGTTTTTTAATCATATAAATTTTACCTAACTCTAACCAATTTTACATAATTATATATCTATTTCAGCATGCTGTGATTATTATTATTATTATTATTATTATTATTATTATTATTATTATTATTATTATTATTATTTTAGTTTTTCAATACTGGAGATCAAGTGACAGCATTTTAACTGCTTTTAGACTTTCAGTTGTTTAGAGATACTTGAATTTTCACTTTCAGTCTCTCTTGCCCTTCCGCTAGGCATTTAAAATTGTCCCCAGATTTTTGCAACAACAGACGTGCCGTCTGTTGTTGCATAACTACCATTATACTTCCAAATGTTTGTTTCTAGTTTTCTGGAAATGTCCACCTATTTTTTCAGCTTTTCCGTTTCCTTCACTTTTATTATTTGATCTTCGCAAATAACAAAATCAATTTCTTTTTTTTAATTGAACATACGTATGTCTGTATGTATACGTGAGGTTGCATGTATGAATGAGGGTGAGATGTAATGCTTAACTTAAACATAGAAAGGGCAATGATGCTTTTACATCTCGAAAAAAAATGTATTTTATTCTCATCTAGAACCAGATGTCATTGTGCTGTTTTATTTCAGATACAAGCGGAAAAAATATTGTATTGCACATCGAACAATTATTGCTATTCAAAATATAGTGAGAAGTTTTTATAAATATTAATAAAGTTCTTTATGGAAAAAAATGCAAAGAAACTCTGAAAAAGATTCATTTAAAATTATTCAATAAAAATGTTTGAAATGTTTACTCAAACTGCATACACACACACACACACACACACCACTTAAGAAACATAGCCAAATGAGTACATTTCTTTGTGACATCAGTTCATATATATATATATATATATATATATATATATATATATATATATATATATATATATATACACACACAGATACATGCGTGTATGTGAATATATGTATTATTATAATTATTACACTCACACACACACATATACATATATATATATATATATATATATATACATATATATATATATATATATATATATATATATATATATATATGCAATAAATGTGAAACGAATACTTTTAACGAAGTATTCTTAAATTTAGTGAAAGATTGTAAAAGCGATCGACATTGTTGTCATAAATAAGCTAACACTATGATAAAAATATGAAAATACAAGTAAATCTTTTAAATAACAAAGTAAAGTGTGTATTTGTAGAAGATAATCCAAATTGTTAATTCTTTTCAATGTTTAAAAGATGTTTCTCGTCAATTTGCGTATTATTGGGAATAGAAAAAATTCGTTAAAACATTGCGTGGATAAAAATTTTCCATATATATTTCCAAGTTATCACTCTGGACAGTTTGTAAACACACTTAATACCTATGGTCGTTAAACTCTAAGAACATACGAAAAGGGCTGTAAAAATGTCCTTAAATTTTCCTTGTCCGTCATCGTCCATGAGAAAATATAAAAAAAGATGACTGGCCATATATATATATATATATATATATATATATATATATATATATATATATATATATATATATAAATATATATATATATATATAAATATACATATATATATATATATAGATATATAGATATATATATAGATATACATATATTTATATATATGTAAAAAAATATATATATATATATATATATATATATATATATAAATATATATATATATATATATATATATATATATATATATATATATATATATATATATATATATATATAATCGGAATATCTCGTAAAATTATGCATTCTTTAAATAAAAATTCGAAATTTCAAAATTAATTGACAAACACACACGCGCACAGAAAAGAGAGAAATTAAGCTCAATAAAAAAAAAATAAAACAAAATTTATCTTATTAAAAGACATCCCATGATAATATTGATTTGATATATTTATTTGTCTTTTTTTGAGTCCGTATCAAATAAAGTTCTTGTCCACAGTCTGACTTTCTGCGGAAATTACATCCACTCATCAGGAATCTTACTTATTCAAGATAAACAAAAAACTCTCATTTCATTTATTATTAATGATTATTCTTTATATCGAGCAGCGTACATGAAACGACAGGTTTTATTATAAACCTTATCAGAAATAACCTGCTCGATCAATGATGTTTTTGTAGAAAATACATTGTATATATATATATATATATATATATATATATATATATATATATATATATATTATATTAGAATTAGAATTGAAACGACGATTTTTATATGGATTTATTATAATATTAATAATAATAATAATAACAACAATAATATCCATAACAATTATAATGATTAAATTCATAATTTAAAATCAACATT